TATTAGTTTTCACACTGTTTCTCAACTGGAAACCAGTGATTAGCGCCATTTACCTCAGCTTCCTCCAAAGCTGCCTGGATTTCAGATTTCTCCTGCTCTATCTGCTTCTTCACTTTCTCCAGCTCATGAATGGCCTTTCCTCCCTCTGCAATCTGCTCCGTGAGGTCAGAAATCTCCTCTGTAGAGACAGAGACAATTGGCAGGGTCAGGCACCGAGTAGGGGGAAAAGGAACCCCCACATGAAGATGACAGGCATTTGTTCAGTGCCTCAGGCACAGACTGCTGTGGACTGGTGGACAGAGAAGCTTGTGAGAAAGACCACCAAGGAGCAGAGTGCCCAGGACTTACGCTGCAAGTTTTTGTTCTCCCGCTTCATCGTCTCCAGGTGGTCCAAGGACTCCTCATAGGCATTCTTCATCTTGAACAGCTCCGTGCTGAGAGAACGAGACTCCTTCTGGGAGGATTCCAGCTCAGCCTGCGTTTCCTCATACTTCTGCTTCCACTCTGACAGGATCTGAAGAGCAACAAGGCCTGAAAATGTTCCTCACAGCAATGAGGGGATGCTCCATCCCCGTACCACAAGACTGAGGCCCATTTTACCTTGTCAAAGTTCTTCTGCTTCTTGTCCAGAGCTGCGCAAGCTGCGTTCGACCTTTCCACATCAATCATCAGGTCCTCCACTTCATTCTGCAGCCGCTGCTTTGTCTTTTCTAGGGAAGCACATTTGGCATTCACAGCTTCCACATGTTCTTCTGCATCCTGCAGACGCTGTGCCAGCTTTTTCCTGTTAAGTAGTAAGCAAATCTCCTTGTTAGGGACTATGTAGGAGGCAGTTTTGGGCAGCAAATGTGCTTTTCACAACAGCAGGCTTAGCCTTTTTCACTCTATGGTTCCTGTGCACAAAGAGTGCAAGGCATCTCCCAAGCAGTCATTGTGTTCCCATGTACATTGCCTTTGCTCCAGCAATCCCTCTGTTCTCTGTGCATACCAAGCATCGCTGGTGTCTGCTTTGATTGTCTAAATCTCATTCATTTTTGATATATAAGTCCTTCACACGATGCATTCCCACCAAAAGCACAGCCTTGTCCTTTTTTTCCCCCACAGTAGCTCACTGGTCCCTTCAGATTTCCCCTGTTAGTTGTAGCCAGCCTTTCCCACAGCCCCCATTTACTTGGCCTCCTCCAGCTCCTCAGTG